TGATGACTCATAATCACTGATGTCAGTTATTGAGTTTTTTGGTTTTACAAAATAATGAGATTCCATCCAATTCTCCTCTAAAAAAATAAAAAATGTTATTGTTCATCTGAAAAATGAATTTTCAAATATTTTAGATCCAGGACAAAAACTTTGTATTGATAAAAACCTTGTTCCGTAGAAAGGGCGATTGTCTTTCAAGCAATATTTACCACTGAAACGCCATCGGTTCGGTAAAAAAATGTACATGCTTGTAGATTGGTAAACCGAAATAATTTTAAATTTGATCGTTTATACGAGTCCGAATACAGAATGTGATTCCTTTGAACTAGGCGTTTCAGGCGATGTTGTGGAAATGATTTTCGAAAAGGCCATATTTTATACGTCGATAATTGGTATTCCTCTGCGATTTTGATGGAATTTTCACATGAGCATGACACTGGATTATGTGAGACAATTAGAAAAAATAGATAAGGGCTACCTGCCTTGAATGAGAAACTCAAAAAAGGCAAAGTTGAAATAGCTCATATATAGTTTGGATGGTGCTATAGTGGCAGGATAAAGAAGAGGTATACGTGATAACATCTGTGCATGAGTTAGAGATTGTAAAAACTGGCAAAAAAGACTATCTTACAAAAGAAGATAAAATAAAACTTTCTTCCATTATCGATTATCATAAGAATATTGGAGAAATAGATCTCACTGACAAGCAGCTATCATTCACAAAATCAATCAAGTAGTATAAAAAATTTTTTTTTCACTTACTCGATATGGCTCTAGTAAGTTCTCATGATTTATATAATATGAAAAATGCTAGATTATCATTTCTGAATTTTATAAAATAAATTGTTTTATCGATTTTTGGTTTGAAAGATGAACCGATACTAAATTGGGCAATACCTACGTGTCTTGTGTCTATGCACTTTATCTGTATTTACTGAAAAGAAAGGGCAATGCCGCTTGTGTAACATAAACAAAGAAAGATCAGAGACTAGATTCGAATGTCACAAATGTTCCATTTCCTATTGCATTATCCCTTGTTTTTGTGTATATCACATTAAAAATGATTTACTTTATTTATAAATAAATCTATAAATAGAAAAAAATACTAAAAAACATAAAAAATAAAAAAAATAAAAAATAAAAGAATATAAAAAAACTAAAAAAGATGGAAAAAAGGAAAAAGAATAACAAAAAATGAAAAAAAATCACATGGAGACAGATGTTCGACACGCCCACGTTGTTGATTCTGGGTAATGCTGAGGTCGGGCTCGCATTGAAGAAATAATTAGCGGATAATAGTAGAAAATGAAGCTTGTGAAAATTTATGTGGCTTATTTCCAGTATAATCAGAGACAAAAATCAATTTTAGTTCAAGTTGATTCCACCATTTTAAATTTCATAATTGATTCCATAATTGCTATCGTTCCTGAGATTAGAAAAACCACTGAGTATTTTCCATCCTTGATAATATTTAAAAGATTATTTGAAACACTATCATTTAAAAAGGCGGCCATATTGGATCCGCCATTTGGAATTTTGTAGGTTTGATTGCAGAATCGTATTCATCAACACCAAAAACCGCTAGCTAAATATTTTTGAGGCTTGAGAAATCTTTTAAACGTTTTTAATGAAGAAGATGAAAATTACCATGCGCATTACCGTACTGGGCCGGCATAACGCCTGGAGGCGTCATGCCCCGATCTGCGAAAAATTTGGCCTTAGTTTAGTCTTTTGTGCATGGCCCAAGCTCACTTTTTTATAGAAAAACGGGGCTTTTGAAATTTCTCAAATCCCGGCACTCTACAGGTTAAAGAAGCAAGTCACTAAGCAATTCAGTCACTTATGTAATAAAGTCAATTCAGCACAAATGAATCACTGCGAAGCAACATAGATCTCAACAGATTACTCACAATGAAAGTAACAGCAGTAAGAGAGCTCAAATAATGTGTCCTAACTCACTGACTGCCAGAATACGACTGAGAATTCAGAATTCAAAAAGAATTTATAGGTGCGTTATTCATTAGCAGATCTAGATCATGGGAAAATCCACCCAATATCGGTACTGAACTTTGGAATAGGCTCATGAACGTGGCCGAAATCGTGGAAAACTTTTTCAAAATTTGCAGATATGAAGTACAAATGAAGCGAAGTGAGACCGTAACGAGCGTGCTTGAAGAGAAAGGACAATCATACCAAGCTTTATGAACGCGGAAAAGGGTTGGTACCGCTTGATATAAGCTGCCTGTTTTTCAAAAGAGTTTGAAGTTCTGAAAAAAGGCAAAGAGCTTCCACAAGGTAGTAAATTGATTTGTCTGCGACCACATATAGACGATGAAGGGATCAGCACGCAAAGGGAAGCGTTAGGCGAATTTTTTATTTTTCACACCCATAAACCAGACTCTCAGTTAAAAATTTTCGAAAATACGCCCATCATCTTAAATGCGAGCCATTACGCAACGCAAGCTCTTATCGAGCATTATCATAAGTTATACTATTACGCGAACAACGAGACAGTAGTGAATAAATTGCGGCAACAATTTCATATCATAGGCTTGCGCACGAGATTAAGATGGTACGCGAAACGCTGTGTAACATGCCGAGTCAGACACGGGCAGCCGGAAAATCCACAAATGGCCAACCTGCTTGAATACCGCGTCATATATCAAAACTTCCCTTTTATTAACTGAGGTATAGACTATTTCAGTCCAATTTTTGTCAAAATAGACAGGCGACGAGAAAAAAGATAGGGAGTGTTATTTACGTGCATGACCACTTAGGCTGTATACCTTGAACTGACAAGGACTTTAAGTACAAGCTCAAAAATCATGGCAATACAAAGATTAGCAGCCCGACGACGTTTTCCTGAGAAGATCTTTTACGATAACGGTACTAATTTCGTCAAGGCAAGCAAAGAATTAAAAGTAGCAATGGATAAATTAGACACTGGAAAGTTAAAAGAATACGCGAAGCGAATAGGTTTTCTTGGACTTTCAACCCACCCGATACGCCCCATATGGGGGGGAGCTTGAGAAAGGTTAGTGGGCGGCGTAAAAGTATCCCTTGATCATCTATTAAATGATCAAGTAACCACCGAAGAAGTACTTCTAACCCTATCTTAACCATTTTTTAATAGGTCGGTCCTCCGGCTAATCCGGAAGCATGCCTTATGTACACAAAATAACAAACCCGAGTTGTACGTTTGAAATCGCGCAAAATTTATCACAAGTCTTCTGGAAGCGATAGTTACACGAATATTTACTAACAGTGATCACGCAGAGAAAATGGCATAAACCGATGACTCCATAGAAGATAGAAGATATTGTGCTGATTTTAGATCATCAAAAACACCACGATATATATGGCGAAAGGGAATTATCATTGAAACGTACGAGAACCAATCAGACGAAATTATACGCTCTGTAAAACTTCACATCGGGAAAACTACATTAGTTTGCCCCGTACATAAATTGATAAAATTGTTTTCAACCGAGAGTAAAAAATCTGATTAATTTTTTATGAGGAGAGGATGTTGTGGATGTTTTTTGGAAGGAAGTGCGTGGCTCATAATTGCTGATAAATGAGTGACAGTAAAAACGACTGTCCCTTGCTTACAACAACAGCCCGCGTCTAAGCGCTTGTAGCCTAAAGTGGGAAAAATTCATTATCGGCCTCTGGTTATAAAGTGAGGAAAATCTACCATCGGCCTCTAGTCGTAAAATGGGGAAAACCCAACAGCTTCCCTACGATGCTGCGGCGACCGGAGCCCAGCCGAAGTATTTATGAAAAATGAAACCCATTGAGTATATCGAAGCGTACAAATTTAACAGTAATACGAACAGTGAATGTACTAGTTTTAAGACGTTAATTGCAACGTGGTTGAGAGGAGTAATGGAGTAAGCGATTGGAACTCGGAATTTGAGCCCTCTCTCTCTCTCTCTCTAAAACCGTCACTCCTTTACTCACCAAGCGCACATGCAAATAGATAAATAGATGAAATTATCGCCATCCTTGTGGAAATCGACTATGTGTGTTTCGATTTTTTTACTTGAGGGCAGCAAACGTTAACTTCACCCTCTCAGCAGATCTATGTCGTGAGGCCGCAAGGCACTACCTTTATGTGTGTCCGGTGGAAGAGGATGGCCAGTTTTATCTTCAGCGGGTAAAACTTTTACTAAAACGAAAAAGGGAAAAAGAAACAAGAATTTTCCAATTCTTCTATTCTTTTCTAATTTAGTAAGATTCTTATTGTAACCAATTTGTAGCAAGTCAGTACGGTTTACATGTGTGTAGAGACAGCTAGATCGAAAATTATTATCTGATTTTTCGATTGGTTACGTTAAAAAAAATTATCTACATAGAAATCTTCAATAAGAAAAATATAAAATAGCAAACTTAACCTGTCAACAAAGTTGACCTTGAACATGATCACCATGGTTAGGGGCAAGGTCATGGGGGTAAGTCCCCCTTAAAGTTAAGCAACCTTGGTCTAAAATATTTTTCGCTGAACCTTACCCTTGCTCGAGCATTCGGGTGGAATGATTAGAAAAAGAAAGCTGACCTCTATATGACCTTGTGGATCACGCAATACCTCATCTGAACGTAAAACTTCCCGCCCTTTTCGAATTCATGATCGAAAATAAGTGTTCCTATTTAAACAAACAGTTGATCTTGAAATGATCTGAAACACGACCACCAAAGTCAAAGGCAAGATCATAGAGATATATCCCCCACAAAATTGAGCCACTTTCATCTGAATCGTTTTTCGCTAACTCCCATAGTTTCTAAGAAAACTCACTAGGTTCATTAAAATGAATAACCTTGTATGTCACTACAGTTATCTATCAACAAAATTTCGCGACAGTTTATTTATGATAAATAATTACAAATTAAAGAATTAAAAATTTCAATAAATTTACAAATTTTGTATTTGTTAAATTGATTTTTTAAATAGTGTTGATATAAATTTAAAAAAAAATATTCAAATTAAATCTTTTATTCAGGAGGATTAGCTGACGATCATGATGTGTTACACTTTTTAGTAAAATCACTGCATCCTTCAAGTGAATCCAATTTGAAACAGCATATGGTCTCAAATGAAGTAGAAGATAAAATTAGTGAAGAATACAAAAATTATCAAATAAAGCTGGAAAAACAGAAGGAAGAATATCGAAGGTACGTTTACATTAAAAATTTTAATAACATTTTTTTATCATTATTTGATGTTGTTTTCGATTAAGGTTTGTCCTTTGATAAAAAAATACGAGGGTGGTCCGATAAGTACTTAGCCTCACCGTCCAATGGCGCCACTCTCGCAAAAGAAATATTCTATCACCTTCTCGATGGTTACTGTCAAGATTTCAGCCGGATTGGAGTTATAGTTTATTTTTGAGAGCGTGTGAAAGCAAGTGTGTCCGTTGATTTTTGAAAAATAGAAAAAGAGCAGTATCGGTCGGTGATTCGTTTCTTGTTTTTGGAAGGGAAATCGCGCCGCGAAATCAAAAAGCGCTTGGATGCTGTGTACGGTGACTCTTCTCCTTCGATGGCGACCGTCAAAAATTTATTTAACGAGTTTCAACGTGGTCGCACGTCGGTTTTTGAAGAGCCACGTCCAGATGCTCCAAAAACGGCTACCACGGAGGATGACGAGACAAAAATTCATAGATCTCGTATTGGCAGATCGACGATTGAAGGAGCGCGAGATAGCTAAGATCATAGACATCTCAAAAGACCGCAAGGGTTATGTCCTGTATAAAATTTTGGGCATGAGAAAGCTATCGGCGTGATGGGTGCCGCGTTTGCTCACTCCGGACAACAAGCGCAACCGTGAGACAACTTCAGAGCACTGTCTGACGCTGTTTAAGCGCAATCCGAAGGAGTTTCTGCGTCGTTTCGTGACAGTCGACGAAACATGGATCCACTGGTATACACCAAAGACCAAGGAACAGTCGAAACAGTGGACTTTATCCGGCGAAAGTGCTCCGAAGAAGACGAAGACTGACCCATCGGCCGGAAAGGTGATGGCCACCGTTTCCTGGGATTCACAAGGTGTGATCTACATCGACTACCTGGAGAGGGGCAAAACGGGCACAGGGCTGTACTATGCCGAATTATTGGGCCGATTCGACGTCGAATTGCAGAAAAAAACGGCCCCATTTGGCGAAGAAAAAAGTGCTCTTCCACCATGACAACGCACCGGCTCACACCTCCGCCGTCGCCATGGCCAAATTGGTCGAATTAGGCTACGAACCCATCCACCGTATTCTCCAGATTTAGCCCCGTGCGACTTCTTTTTGTTTCCAAACTTGAAAAAGTCACTCGCCGGGTAGGAATTTGAGTCGAATGAGGAGGTAATCGCTGCCACGGAAGCCTACTTTTCAGACCTCGAGGAAACGTATTTTTCAGACGGGTTAAAGAAGTTGGAGCATCGCTGGGCCAAGTGTATCGAACTAAAGGGAGACTATGTTGAAAAATAAAACGCCACTTTTCCAAAATTTTCGTTTTTCTTTTGTAGGCTAAATACTTATCGGACCACCCTCGTACATGACCTAGCATAAACTCCCGGGACAACTGTAATTTTAAAAGGTAGTATAGAGACAAAAAATACAAATAAAAATTGGAATGAAACAAAAGAAGAACTATTGTTCTCAAACGTCCCGGATGATGTGATAAACTACGATTACAAAGAATTCATAACAACATTAAAAGAAAATACAGATATACATTTTCCAATAGAAAATAAAAATGATATAGACGAAAAAAACTTTCAATTAATTTTCTTTTGATATAGAAAATTTTCCAAGCATTATTAAATTAATTAAAAATACGAACTTCAATATCAATAATAACGTGATTTTACACGCAGGTAACACAAATTCCATTAGTGAAGATTACACACAAGAAAACAGTAATTCGAGTCACAAAGACAAAGTATTTGAAAACATAAATCTAAAAGATTTGAGCGGAAACGATTTCGAAAATAACAAAGGAATTCATTGAAAAAATTAAGGATATATTTTAGGTGGAAAGAAATGAATCAGGGACTTGTAAAATGGAACAACATGAAATTAACTTGACAGACGATAAACCAGTATACGTTAAACAATTTTTCTTACCACACAAATTACGGAACATCGTTATTGAAGAAGTAAAAAAATTAATTTCTAATAAGTTGGTGAAAAATTCAAAAAACGCTTTCAACGCACCAACATGGGTAGTAAAAAAGATAAGTTTAGCCGGTAGAAAACCGAGATGGCGATTAGTGATAGATTATAGCAAATTAAATGAAAAAACTGTCGCTACCCGTATTTAATACCGGAAATGTTTGATCAACTAGACAAAGCAAAATTTTATCACATTGCTGACTTAAAATCCGGTTTTCATCAGGTAAAGATGCAGCCTAAAGATATTTTCAAAACAGCATTTACCATAGACCAACTGGGCAGATTCGAGTTTCTTATTTTACATTTCGGTCTTGTTAACTCACATAGGTCCTTTCAAAGAATACATAATACCGTACTTAAGAGCCTCATAGGTAGAACTTGTTTTGTCTTTATCGATGATATAATTGTGTTCAGAGAAAAAGTGTACGAAACAAAACAAACGTTTTTACGAAATAGCGCAAAAATTGCAAAAAGCTGACTTAAAACTCAAATTGCAAAAATGCAATTAGCTAAAGAAAGAAGTAAATTTCTTCGGCCACATTATAAGCAAAGCCGGTATCAAACCAGATATAAAGAAACTTCAAGCGCTCAAAGCCTTTGCTACACCGAAAACTATAAAAAACGTTAGAGAATTCATCGGCTCGTGTAATTATTACAGACGTTTTATCAACAATTTCGCAAAAATTACAAAACCACTCACTATTCTTTTACACAGAAACGTAAATTTTTCTTGGAATAAAGAGCACCAATGAAAAATTGAAAAAGTTACTATATATGAAGCACCCGGTTTACAATACCCTAAATTAAATGGAATTTGGCTATTTATCAGTTGCACAAGGCGAATCAACTGTTTAAAAACAAGTCATCACAAAGTTCATCGATTATTAGCCTACGCAATTTTTCGCCAAGGTCCATTACTTGTTGGAGAACTTAATGTTTTATTCCGAACAGATAATTTTTAATTCCATAACACTTAATTATGATAGATTACCAAATCAAGGTGTATGTACATTTTATATTCCATTACGTAACAACTACATTCGGAACATTGACAGACTGATTCTTAGAAAGAATTTGTGGACAGACAGTTATCTATATTATAGCTTATTACATAATCATTTTGTCAGACTTTTTTACTAAAAGGAAAATTGTTAGAAAAACGTATACGAGGGTGGTCCGATAAGTACTTAGCCTACAAAAGAAAAACGAAAATTTTGGAAAAGTAGCGTTTTATTTTTCAACATAGTCTCCTTTGAGTTCGATACACTTGGCCCAGCGATGCTCCAACTTCTTTCACCCGTCTGGAAAATACGTTTCCTCGAGGTCTGAAAAGTAGGCTTCCGTGGCAGCGATTACCTCCTCATTCGACTCAAATTCCTACCCGGCGAGTGACTTTTTCAAGTTTGGAAACAAAAAGAAGTCGCACGGGGCTAAATCTGGAGAATACGGTGAATGGGGCAGCAGTTGGTAGACTAATTCGACCAATTTGGCCATGGCGACGGCGGAGGTGTTAGCCGGTGCGTTGTCATGGTGGAAGAGCACTTTTTTCTTCGCTAAATGGGGCCGTTTCTTCTGCTATTAGACGTCGAATCGGCCCAATAATTCGGCATAGTACAGCCCTGTGCCCGTTTTGCCTCTCTCCAGGTAGTCGATGTAGATCACACTTTGTGAATCTCAGGAAATGTTGGCCATCACCTTTCCGGCCGATGGGTCAGTCTTCGCCTTCTTCGGAGCACTTTCACCGGATAAAGTCCACTGTTTCGACTGTTCCTTGGTCTCTGGTGTATACCAGTGGATCCATGTTTCGTCGACTGTCACGAAACGACGCGGAAACTCCTTCGGATTGCGCTTAAACAGCGTCAGACATTGCTCTGAAGTTGTCTCACGGTTGCGCTTGTTGTCCGGAGTGAGCAAACGCGGCACCCATCACGCCGATAGCTTTCTCATGCCCAAAATTTCATGCAGGACATAACCCACGCGGTCTTTTGAGATGTCTACGATCTTAGCTATCTCGCGCACCTTCAATCGTCGATCTGCCAATACGAGATCGTGAATTTTTGTCTCGTTATCCTCCGTGGTAGCCGTTTTCGGAGCACCTGGACGTGGCTCTTCAAAAACCGACGTGCGACCACGTTGAAACTCGTTAAATCAATTTTTGACGATCGCCATTGAAGGAGAAGAGTCACCGTACACAGCATCCAAGCGCTTTTTGATTTCGCTGCGCGATTTCCCTTCCAAAAACAAGAATCGAATCACCGACCGATACTGCTCTTTTTCTATTTTTCAAAAATCAACGGACACACTTGCTTTCACGCGCTCTCAAAAATAAACTACAACTCCGATCTGGCTGAAATCTTGATAGTAACCATCGAGAAGGTTGTACTACGTGATAGAATATTTCTTTTGCGAGATTGGCGCCATCGGGCGATGAGGCTAAGTACTTATCGGACCACCCTCGTAGTTGTGTGTCAATTTCACTTTTAATAATGTTTGTGCGCGCGTTATCAAAAGTATTGTGGTTGCTGTTGATGTTTTGTGTTTTGATTTTCTAATTGTTTTCTTAATTAATTTCTTGTAACATTTTTCATAAAAACTCTTTTTTTTCAGAAACCCTTGACGCTAGTTTTTTTTTATATTCAGTCAAAAAGGCTTTTTTATTGCTCTTTGCCGATGAGGGTTTTAATTTTATTTTACTTTTATTTATTTCTAAATGCCCTTTGTCTAGTCTTAGATTATTTGTTTTTAGAATTGATACACCTATAATTACATCATAAGAAATAGAAAATTCTACCGGTATAACAAAAAAAATCAATAACAGCCCGTTAATGTTTAGTTTTATTAAGCCAATGTTTCCAAAGTTTTGTCTGTAATTCCTGATAATGAAATATTCTTTGTGATTATTATTACGTTTAAAGGTACGTGACTATTTTTTATAATATTTATTTGAGCGTCATTATCGACAAGTGGCGTTAAACTGATAGCGGAAAAAGGGTTCGGTATTGAATCAAATTG